TCAAATGCCGTAGTCACAACCGCGGTCGAATTAAAAATTTCAACGGTCCGCATCTGCTAGTAAACTGGAGTGAACAGACCTAGGAAGAACTGTGGCAGTCTGTTCCCGCGACCGACAGCGCGGCCGCTCACTCACAACGCCAGTGGGTGGCCTGGGCCGGGCTAGGCTTGGCAACAACCCTGCGAGGGCTCGAGGCCAATCGGGGCTGCGTTCTTCGCTGGTTGGCTGCGGGCGGACGGAACCAGATCGCATGCACGCACGCGCCGGGGACCAGGACGCTCGACAGCTGACTCGCTCCAACAGGACGGCTTACTGCGACCGCCTAGTAAACCGCTGCTGAGCTTGCCCAACCTTATCCGCCTCCCCTGGCTTGTGGTTTGAGAACTTTCAAGTTGTTGACTATAGCACAACGATCGGTCGTTGTCCTTCCATAGAGTACCTTCGGGAAGTCGGGAAGTGTCTCAGTAATTGTCTGTCATTGTTAACTGCTGCTAATTGTCAAACTTAATCGACAAGCTGCCTTGAGCCAGTTGGCTCAGACGGTGTTGAGATTAGTGGTGGAATCTTTGGGTAGATTGGAAATGAGGCCGCTAACGACCCTCAGAAGCATACATATTTTGGATGGCCGTCCGCACACGTTAGTGCCATTAATGGTTACAAACAGAAATGGCGCATCTCGAAATGGGTCTTTTCACCTCAAGCAACAGAACTTCCCCTAAGCAATCGGGTTGCTAAGATAAGTCCTCCCCGCCAGTATTGTCCGGCCGACAACGGATTTCGAAATCTAGACGACTACCTCTAATTGCATTGCTGTCATCAACGGTCCGGGCACAACCGAATTTCTCGATTCCGTTTCCAAATTCATGGCGAGCGGAGTTTCACAGAACGCATAAATTGCGGTCCACTTCTCACATAGTCAAGAAGAAATCCACACACAACTCTAGAAAGTAAGGTACAGGTAGTGCCGGTCATTCAGGAAGATATACTTAGGCTGTAAATATTCAAAAGACAACAAATTCGCAGTACCACTATTCACAAGATGGGAAATGAATACAAAGGGTTCGAAGTAGAGAAGAGAGATCGGTGAAAGTGTTGGCATTGTTGCAGTTAAGGAAGAAAAACAGGTTAAAAGCACAAAGCGCCAATCCTTGAGGGTCATAATACAATGAGTCAGATGACGGGACTAGATTCTAAAAACCAGTGAAGACAGGCAGTTAAGCAATCAGGGCGCGACTGCTTGGGCATCAACCATAGCCGTCTTTTCGGCGATCGCGTCTAGCAGGGGTTGGCGCTTGTGCCGATATCGAACCGCCAGGTTACGCAGTTCTGTCTCCAAATCACGACTCAGATTGACCAGCAGCTGTTCCAGTTCCGTGTAGGAGAGTTTGGCTAGACCACCAGGCTCATTAGCCAGGGCCAGCGCTTTAGAGCCCTTGGCATTGTTGTTGGGGTCAGGTGACGACATGCCACACAAGAGACCTCCCTCCTGGAAGGCCCGCGAAAAAGGGGCGAAGGGACGCTGGCCAACAGCTACAGGGCGCGGCGCGGGCATCCCTCCAACGAGGCCGCAGTCTCGTTGTGCAGCTGCTACGGCAGCCGCTGCATCCTCGTCACCACGTGGAGGGGTCTTTGCGGCAGCATCTTCGGACCTGAAGCAAAGGTAAGTCATTCTGCCGTAGTAATGACGAACAAATGGGAGACTGGAGTGGCCACTTATTTGCCGTACACAGTAAGTCATGCCTCGATTGTTCGTCGTTATGTGACCCTCTGAGGATTCTAAGGTAAAGTGGGAGGTCCCTAGTCCGTACTGTGACTAGGTCAGGTTGGTGAGTGTTCCCTCTTCCACGTGACGGTGAACATTTCTGATAGCAATCTACAGGGTGTCGACCAGTGGCTTAATGAGAGAGGACCGGAAAACTTACTGAACACTGGATCAAATCCCAGGTTTTCTTAAAACGGGATGTTGCAATAACTGCGACCACTGCGAACGCATTGACTAGGTAGTCAGGAATCATTTGACTGGATACAATTATGAAGCGCTGATAACTAAAATAAACTAGTAGTTATTTTTTCCCGGTAGGTTCGGAAACTTACCCACCTGTTCGTGCTTGAACTTGTAACGGTTGGCATCAGTACTGAATTAATCGGCTCCGAAGTCCATGGTATCACGGACCAGCACGTGGCATTACCAACGTTGACCATTTGGCGTTCCATTTCCGAACACGGAACACAGTCGGGCCAGCATCCCCTCGAAGTCGAACTTAGCCATATCCTTTTACGTTTACCTTAAGCCTCCACGGCGATGGAACTCGCTCGGACAGAGGCTTGAAAAATGATTGAATGAGTGCATGACAGGGTAATTTGAAAAGGCTGGCTCATGCCGCATCACCAACAGGTTTTCTTGATCGGCGATGCCGATCAAGACGTGATCCGAGAATTGAGGCTGGAGACATTAGTTTTCGGACGCCTCAGTCTTCCTCAGATTAGTTGTGCGTAAAGGCAGTATTTCTCAGCCGCAAAGCGAGACGGCCTTGACCATGGCCCATACATTGCTTTCTGCTTGAATTGCGCGGCGATATTCGACTGCCTCAAACATTCTTTCATCTACGAGGGGGAGCATTTGCGGCGTGAAAACCTTAAGCAGCACTTTAGTTTTCCCAGAGTTGTTTCAGTCCGAAAGTGCTGGGTGAAAGGAGCACTCGGTCAAAGCAGACTGCGCCTTCTCAAATGAATTCCCAAACGAGACGATGTCCGTACAATTAAGGTCTGAAACGAAAAGGTTCCGTCCTGACTGGCTCCCTTGCAGTCTTGTAGTGTTGTAGACGAAACCTAGAGTACAGTGTAGCTAGATCGGACCGGTGAGAGAAGGTAACCATGTCGATGGCCAGCACTAACAACAAAGTATCCGGTCACCACACCGCAAATCTGACCTTTTATACGAGCGCTGATGGCACGCTTTTGTTAAGTTCATGAGTCTCGAGAAATACGACGAGCCTCCGTGAACATTCAGACCGCACTTCGGAGGACGGAGTAGAACCCTGCAGCGAAGGCATGAAGACGGGCAATCGTCTTCCGGTGAATCTGTCCTAAGATCCGTCGAAAGGCCATCAGTTAGTAACCATTGCCCCTGCTAGAGGAAAGACGGCACTGATTTTTCTGTACTCGTACGAAGCTGGCCGAGTGATGATGGCTTAGGAGGACAGTCGGGGAACTATTCGTGGGGACGTCAAGTAAGTTAGTGTCAGCATAATTTCCAGACTCCGTCTTATCTAACTTATTGGAAGAACGTGCAATACTTGCTGAACTACCTTATCAAACAGCGAAAAGATAACATAAGAACAGTTCCTGTGGATCCCAGTTGTCAGTACGTCTTAATTACCAGCCCTATTGTTCCGATGACTGGGGATAACTACTCAAACTTTTGCAGCAGTCTCAGGGAGCTTGATAGGGACAGCATTTATTTTGGCCGATTCTCACCAACCTTGTTTAACGACTCAGTGCTCTGAAGTTTGGATCTGCGGCGATGAGAGCACGTCGCGCATCGTCCGCTGGCTAACTGATATTAGCCTCCTGAGAATTAAGTGAATAGGCGAAGCTTCAGTGAAGGCGTTCCAGAACAGGGCGTGGTCCCCATCCACGTGGGGTAGCAGCTGGGCATCATGATCAGCCAGTAAAGGAATTTCGTTAATCACATCCTGACAAAGGCTGCCGGTTGGTTCACTGGATCATCAATTGGGAAGAGTTGGGACAAAGTGGCTCTCATGAACACTTTGGGAGACAAGCGCAGTCGCGCTCTCATAAACGTGGTCTGGATTATGATCCCTGTTCGTCTTGAACCCACACTCGTTGAGTGACAATACAGGACCGTATTTACCCACAAAAATGTAACCACTTTGTGCGGCAATACAATCCCCCGTCATTTTAATAGCAAATTTGGAATCTTCAGGTCACCGAAATCCGGTGCCAGCGAGGACAATCTTATTGATTTCAGGAAAGCCAAGCAGGCGATCGTCATTACCACATCGATTACCAATGCCTAACTTTTTTTTGAACGTGGTGCATAAAGAGATCAACATTAACGGCGCGCGCATTGCAAGTCCCTGCAACAATCTCAAGATCATATGAAGGAATAAAGAATAGAACTTCGTAAAGGCCGTTGTAGAACCCCATTTTTCATTAGAGTTGAGAGAGGAGGCAGAGACAGCAAACACATTCGCGTTGGTAGCCTGGCCCTCTCATCGCTTGCGGACGATGCTAGAAGAAACAGGTTCCAATGCCATTTGCGCTTGGATCGCCTTCTGGTAAGGCCCGAGTATTGTCTGAGTTGTTACAGAGGCAACCGTAACAAATTTGATAATAAGATATCGACCCTTGCACTCTGATTGTTCTGATGCCGAGCTCAGTTGACTTCACTTGCCCACCGTTGGAGACGACCAACCTTTAAATCATTTCAACTATACCTCTTAAAAAGGACTAATAAATGCCTAATTTAGTATAATCAATCTTCGGGAAACTACGACTTGTGTGTCAAATGATTCAAACTGGGGAATACTTTTCAGTTCAGCTCAGTTTATTTGAGGGAGACGTAGGCGTTGAACCTTTGAACTCCCAAATTGTCACAAGGAGGCGAAGTATATCAAGAATTTTAAAATAGGAACACCAAACAGCTACGGAAATTTTTTCCTAAACCAAACAGATAAACGAATCATTCAAGTGTTAAAAACATCAAAATTACTAAGTGCAGTGTATAGTAGCCAATACATAATTGTGCTCAAGAAAACTGGTATGAAAGATATCTGAGGCAGACGAAGTGAATCCCAACATTCGCGTGCATCTATTTGGGGCAATATGTGAATTAAAAACAAACGCTACTGAAACAGAGACAGTAACATCATGACGATAATTATTTATTCTAAAGGGGCGATAGGGCGATATCGGTCGGATGACGTTATCGTGTGTAGTGGTATTCTGATCCAACGTGCGCTTAAAAGCCTCGACGGCTGTGGACATGACGATATCTGCAGGCAGAGCATTCCAAGCCTCGACCACTCTGTTGGAAAAGAACTTCTGTGCGTCCAGACTGTTACCAGTCAAAAGTAGTTTAAGTGGATGACCTCGGAGGTTCGTTGTGGTTGCTAACTCGAAGAAGTCTGCAGATAAAAGACAGCGGTTCTGACCGCGCATGATACGGAATGTTTGTATCAGGTCACCTATTAGCTGTCTGTAACTCGAAGAAAAATGGCCCAGATTGGATAACCGTGTTTCGTAGGGCAGTGAACCCTGTCCACTAACGAGTTTGGTTGCCCGCCTTTGAACTTTCTCAAGGATGCTTAGGTCTTTAGCGGTCCAAGGTTTCCACACTTGAATAGCTAACTGTGGCCGCACAAACGTCCGTAATTTAGCGTATAACAAACGTTGGTTAAAGTGTGCGTGTAATTCCAGATGAACAAGTTGCTTATTCCTGTATATGAGGCGTTCACACTGTTCTGAATGTACCTTAATATTCTTTCAACGCTTTTCAAGAGAATTTTAGAGGGTAAACGTACCAAATAGCCAAAAAACAATAAAGTGCAAAAAATGGCAGCATTCCAAAAACGTAAATTACATAAACGTTGCCTGCCGAGATATTTCATATTTCGAACGATAACACTTTGGAGACGTGAAATTCCCTGCAAAACCACTATGGGAAATAAGTCTTTCAATCTCTAGGATTTTTTCGACTATGTGAAGATTGAAAATCAATAGATAAATCAACTATCACCCAATTTGCCAAGCGTTAAGATGCTCGGTGGAAAGGGCGCGTGTTGAGAGACATTATTCTAGATGATCCTGCATGCTTGCTTGCACTTTAACGGCGCATGAACAATATTTTCCATGTTAACGTATATTTCGAAATGCTTCACTAATTTTGTTTGACAGCACATGTCTGGTAGTGATATTGAGCCCATAAACCGGAGCAAATGATGGGCAAGGCGAATCATTTGAAAGAAACGGGCCCTAGGAGCCATACGTTTGGCGGTAGGAGGATGGGAGTCAATTGGACCAGTTTAAAAGGCGCAGGTAGAAGTGGTAATGGCTCATTATTTACGATTCTATACGACTTTCAATTTCATTATGGCTGCTGACAGTCATCAACCTCCGGCTTTACAGACAATGATTTTGTACGCTGCGAAGCCCTGTGTTGAATACTAGTAAGATTATTTATGAACCCGAATTGTTTAAGAATTCTTAGAAACCTTAATGATCTCTAATGACGTGTACTAGCCCGACTGTGATGGATTAAAATCATGGAATCGTAAGCCCAAAGTCTACAAAGAAGATGAGATCAGAGAATACCAGTACCAGTTATTGGCTTCGCTGATTGCTGCACGTTTGAAGTTGCGCGTTAGTGTATCCGTATTCTCTCCGGGCGAAGATGCACCGAGTCCATTGTCAATTTGCCCAGCCGAGTTAGAGCTTTTGGTATCGTAGATGAGCACAGATCCACCCACATCCTCGTCCTCTTCTTCGTAGTCGGTGCCCTCATTGATAATCATGGTTCCCTGGCTGTCTGAAAAGTAGCCCTCGGCGTTGCGCGGTGGCCGATTGGCGCGAGCAGGGAGGCGACCGCTAGATTCATCAACAGAATCCAACGAGATGAGTGTGCCGGACGCGTCCCGATTCCAACTGCAATCAAGTAGAGCAGTGCTTATTGCATATGAACCTCTGAGTGAATATCAAATTATGACTTGGTTTTGTCAAATAAACTCACGGCGCTTCGCCTGATTTACGACGGCTTGTGTCTTGATCAGAACGAGAAATCATTGTTCCCGAATTTTGGTCAGCATCAATGGTGGTATCGACCGGCGCGACGTCAAGGACTTCGGAGGAAGGTGACGTCGACCGCCTTAAACCGGATTGGCGCACCGCCGATGACGATCTGGATTTACTAAGACGTTTCTCGCGGATCTTGCCCGACTCTTCAATTAGGGGACTAGGAAGATATTAAGAGAACAATAAACCTTCGATAACAGACTAAGGACCAAGCAGCCTGCGCAACAAATATATCTTCATATGGGAGTGGCGTTCGACGACCCATCCTGACTGCAGTGCCAGTTTTTCTTTGAAATCTGAGTCTGGAGCCCATCTGGATTATCGTCTACCGACAAATAGAAAATACTAAAAAATGTTTACCGACAAAAAACTAGAGACAATGCAATAGCCACTTCTGACTTGTCGGTTATAGTCAAGTGATACCCCAAACTCAAGTGCTGTCGCATTTGGGTGTAGTGGGCCATTGAGCACTTAAGCCCAACTCCCTAGCCGGTGGGTAGTTCAAATGACTATAGCGTTTGACAGAATTCTGGAGAACTCATTAGACTCCTGTTCAAACCTCGGATGTGCCAGCAGCTGTAGTCTGGATGATGACGGCTAGTGGGTCATAAATTATAGCAGTGTCCTTTACTTTGCCCGTGATACGCCCACATAACATGTATTCTAAATTTAAGTAGGTAACCAATAAAAAGTGTGGAAAGGCACATCCAAGGCAAAGACTGTACACGCACATCAGCACAGAACACGGAAGGGAACCTCGAACAAAGTCCGTCGCGAGCAAGTCTGCAGCAGAGGGCCTAGCCTCGGGCAATTTCGAAAGACAGGAGTTTACGAAACTGACAAAGTCTGGCGACCACGCATCTTCTCGACGCAATCGAGGTGACGGCTGACTTGGGATCATAAACAAGGCTCGCATGGGATGTTCTTCGCCAA